AAAAAAAATATTAAGTCTCTAAGTGAGCTTCAAATGAACTTTAGATAATATCGATGTATTTATACGATCGATCGATGACTGAAAGACACATAAAAATTCGAAAAAATAAAAAAATTGGAGAAACCCACAACATTACACACATCTCGTAGAGATTTGGTGCAAATTTCTATATTAAAAAAAATATTAAATCTCTAAGTGAGCTACAAATGAACTCTAAATAATATCGATGTATTTATACATTATGATCGATCGATGACTGAGAGACATATAAAAACTCGGAAAAATTAAAAAAAATCGGAGAAATCCACAACACACATCTCGTAGAGATTTTGTGCACTTAGAAACTTTTACATCAAAAGAAAAATATTAAATCTCTAATGCTCAATTCCACCAACGTAGATTAACTTTAATCTCGGTTCAACTTACTCCTCATCTTTTTCTAGTTCTAAGAAATTAGAAAAAGATGAAGAGCAAATTAAACGATTGGTAGAATCGGGCATAAGTGAGCTTCAAATGAATTCTAAATAATATCGATGTACTTATACATCATGATCGATCGATCATGGCTGAAAGACACGTCAAAAAACTCGGAAAAAATAAAAAACCCACGGAGAAACCCACAACACATTACACACATCTCGTAGAGATTTCGTGCACTTGGAAATTTCTAATATTAAAAGAAATATTAAATCTCTACGCGAGCCTCAAATGAGAATTTCTAGATGATATCGATATACTTATACATCACGATCGATGACTGAAAGGCACATAAAAACTATGATGATTAGCAAGCAGATTGCCGTCGTGATGAAAAGCTTTACGCGTTGGGGGGAACCGAATGCGCGGTTGGAGAGATTGGATCAGGATCACTCGGTCGACTGGTTAATGCGATGCAACACGGTCACCATAACGGGTCTCCTCCTCGTCTCACTCCCCCGTCGCTCGCGGTTCTGCTCTCCTCTCTCTGTTTTGTTTCTCTTTCGCCCTGTCTCTCCCCCTCCCTCATCCTCGTCACGCCACGTTTCTCGTCGTATTTCTTTGGGCGTTATTTTCATCGGAAACCTCTCCTCGATCGAGAACTTATCCGCCGTGTCTGCATCTCGCCAACGCGCAATTATCCACGTTTTATTCGCAGCTGGATTCGTCCCGATTTATATGACATTCGACTCGAGGTAAAACGATAACGGACTTGCGGACTACTCGCGGAATTATGAACGGTGCAAAAGCCCGCGAGGATCGCGCGAGATTAATTATTATATTGATTCTTATTGAATATTCGCACTCTGTCGCAATTTATACGATTAAATCGGAGGATTAGCAAGCGAAAATCGACATTTTGCAACAATTTCTTAAGTAATATCTCTGAGAAAATGTAATACATCTAAAAAGTTTGATAATACCTTTTATGTATCGAAGGGAGAAGTCTTTATTTTTTTTTTTTTTTTTTTTTTTTTTTATAATTATTGTTTCATCAGAAACATAGAACAGGAAAGGAAATCAGAAATATGTATTCTCATTTTCGTAATTTGGCTATCAATAGTCATCATTCTTTCCTATTTTGCTGTGCGCAGTGATTCAATAATTAAAAATTAAATTCTAACAAATAATGATCTCTTATTATAATTTTTAATTTGTTAATTAAGAATATATGGAAAAAGTTTTACTCCGTTAAATAAAAATTTATCATTGTTGATTCTAATGTAAATTTCCCATGTGCATGCTTAAACTGTGTGAATTCGCGGAAACAATACTTTTACCGCTACAGTGCATAACTCACGATTTGCATAAGACGTATTCTCGCATTTAATTATTCACCGAGCGAGGTTTCCACGCGTAGCGTTACAGCGACTGACGCAGTTCGAAATTTTAATTCCGATTGTGATAAAATACGGAAGCGAGTATGAAGTACGCATTAAATGCGACGCATATTTTCTTTTAAATTGTTTCCATAATATATATTTATAATTGGTGCCGTCTCGCAATAATACCTTGCAAATCGCATCCGTAACCGTAACCACGGAGATAACCACGGTATGATACATCGGTAAACACTGACTGGCCGCGCCATAACCAACGATATCTCGGACTTTTCGGCGGTGTGGGTGGCACCTAAAAATATTTAAACGCGCGCAGTAAACCGCACTAAGCATTCCGTATCAACGGCCCTGACTTTTCACGACCAACACAGTTCGATGAACTTGCACTCTTGCGCCATTCGCAGCACTTTTATCCCCGTTTTCGCGTCTCTCTCTCTCTCTCT